TTTTCTCCTGCAAACACGAACTCCATCTGTTCTAGGCACCTGGCGGAATACAAATGCAAATTGTAATGTCTGCAGCCTAGAAGTTATCTTGGGTGACCAGCTACCCCGAAGTGCCTGAGACCGAGGCTTCCCAGAATGTAGGGTGGAATCCAGCCGGGAAAGGAGGAAAGCCCCGGGGAAGACTTCCTACACTACAAGCACAACAATGGATTCAAAGGAAGCATAAACAAGTTGCTGCCAAGCCTTGAAGGAGGAAACAACCAATTCTAAGAGGATCCAAGGAAGCTTTACAAAAGAATTTGCATTTGAGTAGGAACTCGGCTAAGAGGGAAAGACCCACGCAGAGACAACACATTTGCACAGTCACAGAGGTAAGACAGTATCTGAAAACATTGAGGAAATACTAATTAAGAAGATTATGGGCGTGAGGATTGCGAACTCAGGAGAAACAAGGCTGGAAATTAGACCATGATAAAGTTTGTGATGGTGCTTTTGGAAATAGTAATTCATACTTGCTCTGTTGTGATCTGTTCGGTGCATTAGAATTTAAACAGGCAAGGTATTAGGAGCTGTTGCAAGAGACGGGGAAAGTGAAGAGGACCTATGTTGAGAACTAAGTCCCTGTTGGGAGGAACAGAAAAGATGCAGTTGTTCAAGGATATTTTAAAGAGACAGTGGGACTGAATATTGAATTCCCTGTGGCAACCAAAGGAAGAGAAAATAAGAACGTTTTCAAGGTTTCCACAAGACCTGTGTTTGTGATGATGTGAATAAAAGAATTTGGGAACACCAGAGGAAGAACATTTCTTTTTGGTGAGGAAGCTAAGATAAACTCGGTTGCTTTGAGTATTTGTGTTTAGGGGCCTCACCACCCTAAAACCTAAAACGTACCCTCAAAAAACATTTTTTTTTTTTTTTTTTAAATCTCTCAGGAGTCGATGTCAGTTGGGCTCAGCTGAGCAGTGCTGGTTGACAAGGCAGCAGGGACTGAAGTTAAAGGCTGGGCCGCTTAGGCTTCACTCAGTAAAGTGGTCTCAAGGTAGTTGGACTTAACTGGTGCCTGGCTTCCGAGAGGCCACAGCTGATGCTGCCTGCCCTCAGAAAGGCTAAATCTAGACTTGGCATTGCATGACCCGCATAACTGCTTCATACCCTACTGTCAGAGTGGCCACAGGGCAGCCCAGGTTGGGGGGGGCGGGGGGACAGGTGCCACATCCCAGTGCATGCAGCGTCAACAAACGTGCAGCCATCACTACCCTGCCACAGTGCTTGTGGAAGGCATATGTGGAGATGTACTGGGGGACCAGAGTGAACCCTACCTAGTCTGGCTCTCCGGAGAGAATCAGAATTGGAAACGTGAGTGCAGGAATTTTGTGGGGGAAAGTTAGCAGTCAAAATCTTAAAAATGGGTGATTGGATCAGGAAGTTGAGACTAGAACAGGGCTGCATTTACGAGAGGCGTTTGGCGGGGAGAAACCAACAGAGAGCTCGAACTCTAACAGCCAGTCGGAGGACAGATGCTCCTAGCAACTACGCAGGACAAGACAGGAGAGGTGAGGGGACAGATTTGGAGACTGCAGGGCTGGCAGTGGAGGAGGTGCTAGGAGGGGGAGTGGGCGGCGGCGCCCCCTGCCGGATGGTGGCTGGCGGCTGGGGGAGGCAAGTGGGGGCTGGATTCAGTCTGGTTTGCCAGTTTTCCAGGGCTTGGGGAGGGGTCAGTAGCGGGGAAAGAAGACAGGAACGCAGGGAGGACTGGAGGGGTGGCCTATGGAGGGCATCTTTGGCTTCTGGAAGGAGGGTGAGACAGGAAGACTCAAGTAGAGGATGGGTAATATAGTGAGGTCTTTGGGGAAGGGAGAGGCTCAAGGAAGTCTCGGTGTTCTCTGTGAAGGTGGAATGAAACCACTCCGGGCCAGAATCAGGAATTCTTCCTCCTCAGAACATCTATAGGACATTTCTTCTAATGTTAGTTATGAGTGCACAAAACTGGAGAGAGTTCAAAAGAACTGGAGGTGAGAAAACAAGGGGTTGCAAAAGCCAAGTTTTGTTTATCTGTTTGCTTTACCATTTTTCCTCATTGTTTTGTTTTTAATCATGGATTATCAAATGAATTTAAAAGGAGATGTCATAAAGGTAAACAGTTTAAAGCAGGAGGGTACAGTCACATGCTCACTAACTTTTGGAAAAATACTGGAAAAATATGGGACTAGCTATATTAAATGACAGTTAAATCTTTTCTTTATCTTGCGGTGTATAGAGGGAAATAGGCTCTTTTTCCATCTTTTTTTTGTGTAGATTTCTGCTTTACAAAAACTGGTTAATTGTATGACAGTTTGAACATTATATATATATATATATGTATATATACCAAATTACTTTCAGCCAATACTTTTCCTGAATAGAGACAGAAATTCTTTGACAGAAAAATACTATGAATTAAGAATTGAGTAATTCAGCCTAAATAATTTAATCAACCAAATCTAAGACTATCATGAAGAGAAAAGGCCAGATAAACCAGCCTTTTGTAACACATGTACCATGGATAAGCATGCCTCCTTGTATCAAGTGAAAACAGACAAAAGCCTACTATTGCTCTTGGCCTGTAAAAGCAAGATGTTAATTTTTGTGTCTTCATCATGTCTTGCCTTTACTAGAGTAAGAAAAAAAAAGATGCATGATCAATGGAATTTACAAATATATTGTTTGCTCACAAATAAAAATATACACTCCTTGAAGAGAGGAAGTATGTCTCCCATTTTTGTGTCATTTTGCCTGGCACAGAAGCTCTCAAAAGGATGGAGAGTGAATAAAGGAAGCATGAGTATTGAAATCAGCTTTATTTGGATATAACCTGAAAAATTATAAAGCAAAATTATAAACCAGGATGTAGGTATTACAGTGAATCTACTCTATACATATCCATCCCAGAGACTGTATTTTATACAATAACTGTGCAAGCACAGAAACTTCCACATGGATGGGATGGGTGGCTAGGTTACCCCAGCTTCTGACCTAGAAGCTAAAAAGTATTATTAAATGTATCAAAAATATTTTCCAGTATTCACTGGTAGAAAAAAATAGAAATTAAAGATTTTGATATATTTCATATTAATCTTTGCTATAAGCAGATGGCTTTGGATGCATATAGGCTTTCATGAAGTCAGTTTCCCTTCTGTCTTGCTTTAGAGAAAGCAACAAGCAAGGCTTGGTGTGGTGGAAAATAAGCAGTGATTTCTGTTTGAAAACTGTTAGAAGACATTGAGAGTTTTACCATTTAGCTCCAATCACCACACCAAGAAAAATATATTAAAATAGATAGTTTTAGAGTATATTATGTCATCTAAAAGTAAATAATTTAGAAATAGGACATTTCATTCCATGCTTAGAACCCTCCACTGGAATAGGTAATACATTTGATTTTATTCAACGAAACAGATTTATGATATCTAGTTTGGAATATTCTATGTAGGCTAATACTTTGACTTTCATGATTTGGAGTTCTCACGAATAAGGTCCTAAACTGTCTGCTGAAGCTACTCTGTAATTTTGCATATAGCGTCTGGCTTCTTTTTTTGTTTTTGCATGGAGAGGGGGACAATGTCTCCAAAAACACTGACTCTTTGTCAAACAATGGCTACAAAAATTCTAACCATTAGGCGCATATATAAATGTATTTCTGTGTGCTATATATGTATATGTGGTTATACATGCATATAGGTATTTATGTACATATACATTCTAGCTATGGTTTTATTCTTTAACTTGGAAAACGAAAACGATGAGAAAGAGGAAAATGAAACAAAGCCACACAAATTGAGCCTTAGCGGGGGCTAAGAGACTAGGCTATTTATTTATCAGATTGGCAGAAACTGCCATGACCAAGGGATGCTGGGATACTTGCTCACCTACATTTAAAGGCAAGGCAAGCAAACTTCCAGGGACCCTTAGTCAAGCTGCCTACAAAGCATATCCATTAGCACGTGATGCACGAGTAGGAAACCTAGGTTGACACACATTATTTTAAAAGTGCATATATATATATGTATTTGAAATCCTCCTAATGAAATGACCAGGTTTTTGTATTTAATGGCTAAAGTGACACTGAATGTTAGCAATGTAATTTTCTATTACCAACAGTAGTATCAATAATTCTTCAGTGATAAAGTGTAAAGGAAAAACTTAAAGAATGATAAATTAAATATTTTTCTGCTCCCTTCATCCTGTAATATTACGTCAAGTGTTTGAACAAAATACAGAACAGTCACGGGGTTGTGCAGGGTACTGCTCATTCCAAGAAGTCTTTATCCCACATCAAGGTTAAAACTTCAGTGAGTTTCCATTGGCTGAGTGATTGCATAAATTAATGTCATTCAGACCAGCTTTAACTTGCACAGCTGACTTTGGAAATGTGTGACTAAGCTCCTAAATTGGCATCGGAGGCACATTTACCGGAGTTGCCTTATCTCTGCACCACTTACTGCCTTTCATCCCCCCCTCACTTCCTCCCATTATCATCATCACTTTCATCACAGGCAGCTGAAGTTTCTCCTTCAAAATCAAAAGCCCTTGGAGAACAATCCTGCTTAAAGCTATGGGCCGCTGAAAATGTGTTGTCTCTTTCATTTACATTTTGATTAAGTGAAAGTCTCTTAATTTGGCCATTATCAATACATAAATCTGTAGAGAAAATGAACATGCATTTATAATGCAACCAACATTACATGATTTACTGTTCTTATAATGTGTAAATACAGAAGGGGGGAAAAAATAGTCCAGCTCTGAGGTCCCCTGGACATGAAGCACTGTCAGCGACTAACAGGGCAACTCACATCCTCTGTGAAGGCAAGCCTCAAGCTCCCCGTGTCTCATCCCATCATTATTTCAACTGAACTAGGTCTCCAATTTTAAAACCATCACACATAAATCTGTCTACTCGACCAATCTTCCCGTGGGAAGGTTTGTGAGTGGTAAAGTGAAAGGCTCAAAATGGGTTTCCATACCTGATTGTGGACTTTGTTTGGGGATTTTGGCTACCCCTTGAGGGCTGGAGGTGGAGTGCATTCGCTGGTTGGCAGAGCTGTGGATGCTGCTGGGAATAGCCACTGAGACATTCTTGCGAGGCTTCATATCTTGCAGCCACATGGGCGAGGCTTCGAAGGCCTGCATCCTCCTGGCATGGGTGTTGGCATTGACTTTCAGGTAGGCCTGGGCTTTGTGTTCCTGTAGCTCTCCGTAATTGGCATCGGTCACCCTGCATTCATATAAGCCTTCATCCTTTTTCCTTACTTTGGAAATCTGAAGCTTGTGAGAGATGTCATTGCCTTGGACTTTCACTGTCTGAAAAATTGCAGGTAAAAAGAATAAAGTGCTACATCAAACGGTTTTGTTCCCACATTTGCTCCTGAGCTTGCTAATGCTGGAAAATTAAAGGGTCTTAATAGCCTCACAGCCACAGTCAGAGAACTATTTATTTTCTCAACAGTCAAATATGGAGGTCATATTTATCCCATTGCACTAACAACTGGCTTCACAAAATCATGGAATAATTAATTCAATCCAGCCAGTACCAGATTCTATTAGCCATGTGGTCCTCATTTCCCAGGTTCCAGGAACAGTCCTGCCATTTTCCAACCATGAGATTGACCTCTGCCTGGATAGCTCAGTCAAATGAAGCACAAACAGAATTTGGTAAATGATTTAGTTTTATAGCCTCTTTTCTACAGGCTACAACTCTGAGAGATCATAAAATTATTTTGTTGGTCACAACAGAGTTTGAGAATGTGTTTTTATCCCTGCACTGGGATGCTTTACTAAAGGTACTGACAAAAATAGATGTGAATATTTAATATTCTACTCAAATGTTTGGTGCAGTCTTACCAATAGTCTTGGGGTGGTATGGCTCAGGGTACACATTAAGGTCACCTGGAGTCTTATGGTCAGAATGCATACCCCCTGCCATGGTAGGGTCTTTATGCTACTGGACCTGGAGATGCCATCAATCAGACACTGGTTTGATTTTCAAAATTAAAACTGGCTCTCTTATTTCTTCTAATAATGTTTATGCCAGATTAATAGCAAAATTAAATATAAATATTAAAAGATTGTAAGTTTGTATTATGTGTAATATACATGAACACATGTATATCCATAAACATCCTTATCAGAACAGTTAGGTTTTACATACATCATATATTATCCATGACTGACAGGATGATGGATTTCATAAGACACTCAGGATTTAAGGATTTGCGTGATTTTGGAAGACAGAGAAATGAAGTAAAGAAGGCATACATTTTCAAATGGCCATAAGTAATTAAGAAAACTAGGGAAATGTTCATTGTGTTTTACATACAGAGTTATATATACGAATAGTTATCAATATGTGAACCATAACCATAGTATGTATTTATTTGTATGCAAAATTACATATTAAGATACTCATACTATGAAAATAATGGGGAATAATAGTTTCAAATATAATCTCAGTTGAGTCTCCTAATAAAGTTTGAGATAGTTGGAGTACTTATATGATTATTATTTTACAGTAGAGTAAACTGAAGTTTGGGGGTTTGGGTCCTTGATTCTCAGCATTGACTGTACATTAGAATCATCTAGGGAGCTTTAGTAAATGGTCTCATCCGGGACACCTGGGTGGCTCAGTCAGTTAAGCTCCGACTCTTGATTTCAGCTCAGGTCATGATCTCAGGGTCGTGAGATCAAGTTCCACACAGGGCTCTGCCCTGGGCATGGAGCCTGCTGAAGAGTCCCTCTCTCCCTCTGCCCCTCCCTCCCCTCGCTCTCCCCCTCTCTAAACTAATAATAATAATAATAATGATAATAAAGAAAATGGCCTCATTTGGATTAATGTGGAAACATTAAGCTTGCATCTCAAGGAGGCACAGCTCCTATCAGTGTTTGATAAAAGCATTCCTGAGAATTCTAAGTTAACAACTGCTGGTTTAAGACACATGACCAAGGTCACCTTGTTAAACAGGGAATAAACTTCTGTGTCAGTCTGTAACCAGAACTTTTGCTGATGCACTAGATATTATGAACTTTTAGCATAGATAATACTGTTAGTGGTTATGTGCATGATCATGTATCTTAACTGTATGGCTCCCTAGTTCAGGATGTGTGAGGCTATTCCTTACTGGTCTTTGGAGGATATAGTCATGGCCGAAGGGTGAAGCATGAATAGTCAGTGAACAATCTAGCCACTACATATATGTATAAAAATGAAATAGTTAAGGTTAAGTACTGTCAACAATTGATTTTACCAGTAAAACCTTTCTAGCACTGTATGAAAACAATAATTTCTGTAATATCATAATATTTGAATTGAAATATTCTAAAAAGTGAGTTTATGAATATAAATTGTAGTTTTTGGTTTATGTCTTATTTTTGTTTGATATTTGCTTCCATGTTGAGATTATACACTTATATCACAGAATTTGGTTCTATTAGTACAATATATTTTCATACTTTTAGGTGTGATATAACTGCAATCTTATACCACTTTTTTACTATTGTAACAGCTTCAGAATAAATTTTCTTTTTTAATATAGGTCATTGGATTTTTAAATTCTTAAAATGAATAAAGAATAAGAATATATACTTATATATATTCCTATGTATAGCATATATGCTAAGCAGGCCTTGTACTTTCTGACTTTATATAACTATTTCATTTCTAGTAATGAAAACTCACTATTTATGAATGAGTTAAGCAGTTCTATCAACATAAAGTGATTCTAGGAGGCTTCATTGGTGGTGTAGTAAAAAAAAAATACAATTTTCTTTTTATTTCTAATTTCACATAGCATTATTTTTTTTAAGATTTTTATTTATTTAATTGACAGAGAGAGAAAGACAGAGAGAGACAGAGAGGGAACACAAGCAGGGGGAGTGGGAGAGGGAGAAGCAGGCTTCCCGCTGAGCAGGGAGCCTGATGCGGGGCTCCATCCCAGAACCTTGGGATCATGACCTGAGGTGAAGGCAGTTGCTTAACCAACTGAGCCACCCAGGCGCCCTTCACATAGCATTATTAAAAGTCAAAATACATCTCTATTTTCAATAGGTCGAACTCCTCCAAATATGTTTTATATTTACATTGCCTTATGGTTTTATATTTATATGATTTTGAGCATTGTCATTAGAAATACATTGCATGCATTATGAATCACAATGAAAATTGTGTTGTTTTCAATACAATTTCAACATCCTGTTGAATTTTTTCCTGCCTAGGAAGATTTTCATAAGTTAGTGTTTTACTTCCTATCAAAGGATAAGTTTTTCTGTGATTTTGAATGGATATTAGTATTGCAGTCCTATATCCTACAGTTATGTAAGTGCCAAAAAGAGAAGAAGAAAGTGTCACACTCCTTGGCTGGCAAATGATTCTCTAGTAATTGTTTAAATATTTACGATATTGAAATAAATAATTTTATTGTATCAACTCTAAATCTGTTTCAATTTTTATGTACCCAGTAAATAAGAAAGAGAAAACTGGATCTCGTCTTGCGTTCGTGAAATTGCCTTTTTCCGGGACAATAAGTTAAAAGGCTTTTAAAAACCTAAAATTCCCCTAATTTTCATCTGGGGCCTGCCTGGCAGCTGACAAAGGCAGGCGCCCCCTGTCGCCTGTCGCTGTGATACTCACACTGATCTTGGTCCCGTCGTTGTCCGGGTCTCGGTCGGGCACCAGCTCCACCTGCGGGAGAAGGAGACGATGCTCAGACTCGGGACCCTGACGGTCCCCGTCCTGATCCGGAACGCAGCCGCGCCGAGCCAGCTCGGCGAGGCTCGGCGAGACCCAGTCGGTGGTAGCAGGAACGTCTCGGTTGGGGTGATTTAGAAAAGAGACCGGCGAGGGCCAGCGCAGCCGCAGCCGGCGGGTCGGCCGCGGAGGCCAACTGGGCGCGGGGCGGCGGGACCGCGCGGGGGCGCTGCCGAGTCGCGCGCGCTGGGATGTGGATCCCGGACACCGCGGGCTGGTGAGGGCTGGACTCCCCGAGCGGGCGCGGGCGCGAATGGAAGTTTGCGGGGACAGGAGTCTGCGTCTTTGCCCGGCCTGCCTCCCCTCCCTGGGGTCTCTTCCAGATTTTCTTTTTTCTCTTGGGCAAGTCCGCCGCCTCTTTTGCTGAACCGTTCAATCTCGGCGCCGACCCTCTCTCTCCCGCCTCGCCCCGCTGCTTCCCTTTCCCAGTCCGTACTCCTTTTCTCCACCCCTCCCCTTCCCCTCCCACCCCTCCCCTCCGCTCTCCTCTCTAGTGTGTTCAAGAGTAGCCTCCGCTCCCCTCCTTCACTCACTCCCTATTCCCTCTACCTTCGCACCTCGCACCCTCTTTCCGCCGCCCCTCCTCTCTCTCTCTCCCTCCCCCCGCTTTCTTCCCCCTTTCCCTCCCTCCCACGCCCACCTCCCCTTACCCCTCCCTTTCCCTCTTCTCTCTCTCCCCCCTCCTCCCAATCTCTTTTCTCCTAGCCTCAGTCGTGAGAACTGACAGGTGTGTGTGTGTGTGTGTGTGTGTGTGTGATGCAGACACAGAGAAATGCCTCCCGACCCCACCGTCCTGGAAGGGGGACAGAGAGTGTCCTGAGCTGTAACAATACAGTAGTCCCCCCCTATTGACAGCTTGACAATAGCCGGTACTAAAAGGAGGAGGTTATTCCCAGTTTTAATCGGGAAACACTCCACACAACACGACTTCCTCCTTGGTTTTAACGTAATGTCACCAGGACACATTCGGGCTCACTCCCTGGCATCACTCACGCTAAGAGAGCCAGGCGGGCCCCAGGGGCGTCCAGTATCCCTGGGTGCACCTAGAGGACTAAGGGGGTGAGTGGGACAGACGCACGCGGCGTTGCGGGCGACGCGACTCGGCTACCTGCGCACCAGCCACCTCGGCCCCGGGCTCCAAGTCCTCGGGCCCTCGCAGGAACCACCACTGGATCTCCAGATACACCGAGGCAGAGCCACTTTGGAAAGCGCAAGACATCTCCACGTTCTGCCCCTCGGTCGCCGTCACGTTCCGCGGAAACTCGGTAAATTTTGCTGCAAAACAGAAACGCATCCTTTTGGAACACCCACACCACTCTTGTCAGCGTCTCGTTCCTTGAGAGCTCTCTACATTTTTCCTGGACTTAAAAAAAAAAAAAAAAGGCAACAAAACCCCTCTGTGATTTCTGGGACGTTGCCTGGTTCCCCAACCCCCTTTCCTTTGCCCCATTCATGTCCATTTTTGGTATCATGCCTAAATAACTTTGTTGTGGATGAAGTCCAGGTAATGGAAAGGTTAACAAGCTTGCCAAATAACACCTCTCTTAGCCAAGTTGCCCATAGTTAGATCCATATACCTTTTGTCAGATTGCAGCATTACCCAAAACTTCCAGAGGGATTCAATGAGCTACATTTTTGACAAATCTGTCAAGTTGATATATGAGGAGAGCCTCTTGCTCTAAGTTTCTAAATAACCTATGACTAACTGGTTGTTTCAAGTAATAGAGAATGGATCATGATTACCTGTCAAAATGCACATGCCTGATATATCAAAACAATTACTAGCAACTGTGATTTTAAGCCACAGCGTGAAACGAGTTGCACACTTTCTAAGCTGTGAACATTTTTTTCTTTCTAGATTAACCTTCATATTTGTTCTCATCAAGCTGTATTGTAAATTGCCATATATCATGGCATATAAGAATCACACACCTGGTTTTAGTTCAGAGCGAAGACTGTTTTGAAGTCACCAGAGATTTTTTTTTTCAGTCTTTTCACTATCAGTCTTGACACTGCCTGTCTGCAAATTCAGAGTTAAGGTGAAACTCACAAAAATGAAATGTTCCCTTTCTCCCAAAGGCATTTCTTTAACATGGAATGCTCTGGGTGGTTGTTCTTATCTGGTCTGAGGGATACTTTGTAAAGAACTGATGTTTCCCTAAAAGTAATCCTGGAGAGATTTGTGGCTGACGGAAGTGCACAGTTAAAACGCACACTCGTGGACAGGAGGACAGAGGGCCTGCAGGACTGATTTAGGGTGGATGCTCTTTCCCCCCACTTTTTAAAGAGAAGCACCATCAGTGTGTCTTTTCAGAATTTTAGGAAATAACAAAACGATCTCAACTGAAGGGGAACTGTATTTATACTTAAAGGAAGTAGCAGATGTTAAAGAAGACATTCTGATGTGAAAATGACTTTTCTGTTTAAGCTGGAAGGAGGAACATGGCATTTCTGCTTGCCTAAGTGATGCAGTCTTTTGGCAGCAGAGATGTGATCTGTTCATGGTGCTGAAATGATCACTGCAGCCTGCGAAGTCCTGAACAACTGGATTCAGCAGGCTGCTGCGGCTTGTAATGCAAGTCGTGCCTTTTTATGGGTCCTCAGAGGAGTCTGTCCTTTGATAAACACACATGCAAACGAAGTAGCAAGGACCCAGAAAAAGGAAACTAAACCAATTCTGCCTACACTGAGGAGGACCGGCAATGGAGAGCCCCCCATCCTCAGCTCTATTTGTTTGCCATGATTATGTATGCATGAGTGGTTACCCAGTGCATGAACACAGATACAAGGCGCGCGCGCGCCCGCGCACACACACACACACACACACACACACACACACACACAACCCTGTGTTTGCGCTTGCCCAGGAACCCACTTCATTGTCAGGCACAAAGTAGATTTGCTCTCAAATCTAGCTTGCCTACTATTTAATAAACTTTAAATAAAAACGCCAAACAGAACACTATTCCACTGTTACTTGCTAAGAATCTCACTACATCTGCTTGGCCGTTCTTGGAATATAGAGAACACACACACACAGACACACACACACACACACACACACACACACGCACTCCGCAAGCAAATGTATATTTGCCAGTGAGCACAGACTTACCTTGAGAAGACAGCCCTTGTTGAACATATAAAACGGAAAAGAAAACAAATCCAACATATGCCGAAAAGACCCCCATCATTCCAAAAAAGGGGGGGGTCACATCAGTGTAGCCAACAGCCAAAAAGCCCAAAAAGATAGGAATGCAAACGTATCAGAGGCTCAGTCTCAGAGCCCTGCGCGCGACCCTGCAAACATCCTGGAGCTCACTCCGCGAGGACTGGCTTTGGGGAGAGGGGAGTGCAATTCGCGAAGGTTAAAACCAGCTGGCTCGGATTCGGAGAGGCTTCGAGTCCACACTCGGGCTTGCAACGCGGGGAAGTGCCTCCGCTGCTTCGCTGCCTGCTTTCAGCTACCTGGCAGCTCGTCCAACGTCAGCCCGCTGCTCCGGCTTGCGTGATCACTGCCCTCCCTAAACGCCGAGCCAGCTCGGGAAGTGGGGAGTGGGCAAGGGGGGCGGGCTGGAGGACTTCACCGGGCTCGCCGCGCCGCAACTTTTCCCTCTAATGGCTGCGATGATGCCTTTAACTCTCTGCGCGCCGGACGGCTCCCCACCTGCCAGGAACGCTGGCCGGGCAGCCCGCAGCAGGCTCGGGGCTTGGCGGCTCCGTCTACGTTTTCTTTCTGGAGAGCAGGAGCATTTATTTTTTTCCAATTTGCCCTTTTTCCCCATCGATTGAATCTTTCTTGCCTCGGCAGACTGGATCGCTCGGCGCTTAAGAGGACAATACAGTTGTAGGATTGCGGTGTAGGATTGCTGGGGGCTGGGAGCTGGAGATTTGGGGAGGAAGTTGGGGCATTGTTGAAGGGGGAAATGGGATGGGGTGAAGGAGACTGCTTTGGGGCGATGAAAACAGTCATTTGAGGGAAATGTCGCTTAGCCAGTTATTAACTGCTTTAACTAGAATGATCACATGCTATGATTCCTCACGAATTTATTGCTGAACAGCCTCCAGGCGAGGAGAAACAGCTCATGCAGGCACCATACCACTCTAGCTGGCAAATGGAAAAGACAAAAAGTATAAAAAGTCACGTACTGAGAGAATTTTCCAGAAAGAAAAGCCCATCATACTATGATTACTTTTATTTTATTTTATTATGATTTTTTAAATTCATATACCCCTCTGCCTCTCCTGCTCTCATCTGTGTTGTGGAATGGGGGAGGGGTTTTAAATACCAGTAAGGTCTTCATTGCATGATTTTTCTTTTTTGTTTATATGCTTTTCTTTTGCATAACAATAACTAATGTTCCTTACGATATATGAATAAAGAATATTATTTTGGGGGAAAAAAGCACAGTAAGTTTTAGAATTTGGAACAAATCTACTTATTTGCCCTGGAGAGGGTTTGAGATAGAGATATTCTGTTTCTTATTAAGAATCTACAAACAGTATGTTAAAGACTCCATTTGTCCTTATGAAGTCCAACCATTAGCCAATGAATTTAAATGTTTTTAACAAAATTAAAATCATTTGCTATCTAAGCAGAATACCAGATATTTTATTCCCATTATTATTTCTATGCAACTATACCACAAATCTTCAAAATTATTTCAAAATATGACTCAGCCTTAACAATGCTGTCAGGGAACCAATGCAGTATATGTATTTTCATTTTACTGGTAAAGAATTTGTAGTTGGCTAATTCCTTCACTGACCAGAAAGAAATTAACCTTATCAGAGCTGTTGGATTTTTAAACCACTTATCCTTCTACTGCTGAATGCAGCAATAACTTAAATGATCAGAACATATTATAAAATACAATATTATTTATTTTCTGAAGATATATTTACCTTTCACTATGGGTAGAGACAGAGTATAAGATTTGTAAGTTTTGGAGAAAGTCATGGGGAATATTTTACATCTGTTCATGTTTAGGCCAACAAGACTCCATATCCTTCTTGTATTGAGCAAAGGATTCTGAAGTATGTCATTTCAAGAAAATAAGTCTCTTTACCTCCAAATACTCTCTCGTGGAGAATGTGTTCAGAATATAGAAACAATCCAAGTTAAAATACTTACCCCATACTTAAAATTATTTGGAAAATAAACAAAACTTTGCAGGTATTAGTTGCAAAGGTTAGTTGTCTCCAGCTTTAAATTTTATCCCTAACAAGATATGCTTAATGTTTATTTCACGGTTTTAGATTTAGTTGAAACATTTAACATAAACATGAGATTAATATGTCATGAAAATGTCCCGACTTCAAGGTTATCTGCTGTTAGAACAGTTTCCAATATAAAGAAAAGGGCATCCATTTTAAACAAGGGAATTTCTGAATTAATTTAGCAAAGCACCTCAAATTCTCTCAAAGGGAGCTTGATCTCTGTAACTATAAAAATACAATAAAAATAAGTTGAAAAAGTGTTAAAAGTGTGAGAAAAGCTTTTATAAGACAGATAAACTGTCAAACTACTTTATAAGCATTTAAGCAACAAAAGAAAGAAAAAGAAAAAAAAGAAGAAAAGAAGAAGAAATAAAGTAACAAGGAAGACAAAATTGGAAAAGGATTTATGTTCTTTTCCTTCTGAAAAATGCCTGATATGTATTTTATTTTCAATTTTGCCAAGATAAACCAATAATTTTATCTTAAATATCATTTATATTGTATGTATTATATTGTATTGTATGAATTGATACTATTGTATAATTTCAAAGACTATAAATAGTGTTGGTAAACACATTTGCATTATTTACTTTAGAACATTTCCCTTATTAAGGCCAAAAATGTTTCTATATTAACAGTTTGAAATGATAAAAAAGTTTAATCAAAATGTAAATATATCTCATATATCAAAATGTCACTGTTCCAAGACAAAGTCCCACTATTTTTATAAGTCCTTATAAAACACCACATTCTCCTACAAAATTGGTGGCAACTTACCAGGACAGATTACTTATTTGCATCCAGAAATGGGAGAGACATTTCCTCCCCATTTCTCCTTTCCCAAAATGGTCATTGCTGGTGTCTTACCCTATAAAAATGACTGCAAATCTCTTCTTCAAACAAACAAACAAACAAACAAACAAACAAACACCTTTCTGTGAACTAATGCTCCAAAAATAAAATCTTAAATCTCCTTTTTTAATTTGTTTTTTTTTTGCCTTCTAAACTAACTTTTGTTTTTGTTTTTGTTTTTTTTTCTATTTTAAAATTTAAATATTTGTATCACCACGCTATTTTCCCCCTAAAATATGTAATAGAAATTCTTATTTGAATATGCTCCTTCCTCGGGTATAAGTCAATCTTTGAGTTCATTTCATTGCCTTTCTTTCGGTATCTTATTTAGATTGCATTGCACTCTTTTCTTGTATATAAAAACTTGTTTAACTTTATCTTTCAAACACTGCTGACTTATGATGTCCACAGTCTTTCCTAAACACTTTCAGAGCCTTTGATCCACCCAAGAGCTAAGCAGGAGAGGGGTTCTTCAAGATCTGTGATTATCAACTGCATTACCCCCTTCTCCTAAGACAGCTTTGGGGCATTTGTTCACTTTGAATCACCATATTTCACTCCCAAAGTCTCATGATAAAATTACTTTCCCTATTCTACTTGCATAATCTGTCCTAAACTGGGGCTTAAGTGCCCAATGTAAACTTTTAAAAATTGTCTCAATCATTGGAAAACCCCAAATTAAGTATTTTATTTAGAAATAACCTTTAAAATAGAACCATCTAAGAAATTAGAAGATCATCCTTGTGGATCCAGAAGTATAAGCTTAATTTCTTCACATCTCTGGCAAGCGGTTTAGTTGAACTGCTCATAATTTCCATCCAAGCACCAAGAGATTCATTCTACTGTGTTCTCAAACATGGTCTTTGGAGAAGCTCAAACTGCATAGGAGAGAATATTTCAGGGCCTTGAGAAATATTTTCACCTGTAATCTCATGCCTAGAGTATTTTTTTTTTCTCATTTGGGAAAATTAAAGGAAATAGACCTCTTTAGATATGGAAGCAATATAAAAAATCCACAGAGAAACTCTTTCAACGGAGGAAAACAAGAGTCAGGAGAAAGTCACTAACTCGCATTAACTGAAGATGAGCTTTTAAAATTTGTTTTCCATTGAATCATAGAAGCCTACGCCCTGGTAGGGCTGGGTTTACTGGTCTCCTCCACATGTCACGTTTTCAAAGATATGAGAGAGTCAAGGGCAAGATAATAACAACAGAAACAACTTATAAATGACATCTCTTTCTGTACATGTATATAGCATGTATTCCTAAAATGAATGAATTTCAGAAATGGCATAGATCTTAGTAAGCAATCAATCCAAACTGCTCATTCTACATATGACAGGACAGGGACTACAAGTAATGACTGCTCACTTGCATCACAAAACCAAATCAAGACTTTCTTTCATCAAGATCCTAAGATCTAAAATGCTTACAACAAAGAATTGAGGATTAACTATCATAGGGCAAGCAAACAAAACTTGTTCATGCTCTTGGCTTTAGAGGGTATATTGAAAAAGTGACCACTAAAAAGAAAATCAATTGCACCCAAACTCTCTCCTAGATTCTACAAAACAAGTCACTTGAAATTCCAGCTACTGAGAATAGTCTGTGAATCTCCTCCACACAATTTCCAGTTGTCTCATATTTTGTGTCTTATAAAATCAACAATTCAGAGAGGAAGAATAACCAGTGGTCATTGGAAGTGATCAGCATGGTAAACAGCCAGGTGGCCTAGATCGACTAACTGCCCATTTTATGGCTACTGGTTTTTTTAGTCTTCCACACAGCATTTCTCCCTTTATCTTTTCCTTTAATGCCATGACCAAAATATAAATTACCTAGATCTAGCTTATATTCTGTGAATCTCGATGTAACTTTGTAGTTGCAGTTCAGGAAGTCAGAACTCAAATTATTCATGAGGTCATGTTATGTCATTTTCAAACTGTAATATCTGGTCTAGATGTGACCTCCAGAAACAGCAAAAGGAAGTGTCATATTTTCTGTAAAAGTTAATATCACGATCTGCTTAGATGTCCTCCACAAAACTCATGGACCCTTACCTTTATCTTTTTTTTCTCTTTTGAAAGATTAAAATGGGCTCATAATCAAACATAAGTTGTGTCTGCTAATTTCTTCATTAGCAAAAGAAGTTAACGTGGAACTAGGTGCCTACCCTTGGTAAAAAATCTAAAAAATCTATAGCTGGAAGCCATGAAGTTAGAGAAGTTGAGGCTGCTGTAGCTGCATCTACCATCTCTGGAATGTTTCTTCTTGCTTCAAAATTATGCTGCAGTCAGTTGAAACTTGGGGTTTGTGATATTTCTTAATTTCAATATATGTTTTCTTTCATTAAAAATCCCATGGGTTTGATTAGACATGAATAACTAAATTCTACATCTATTTTTGTGCAACAGATAATTATTTGGGGGAAAGAAAACCAAAATACAAGAAAAGCAGGAATTTTTGGTAGAGTCTATAATTCTAAGCTTGTCCATGATTCTTTGCCTATATTTACAGTATTCATGAAAGTAAATAATAACATAATAATGCTAATGAACATCTTTCAAGAA